CCCAATATGCCAGCTGGAGGCTTGTGAGCGGGGTATTAGGGGATTTGCACTGCATGCTGCTAAATTTGATATGTCCTTTAACAAGAGACAAATGGTTCACAAGGCTTAAAAACTATCGACTTTTCTTTAACAATAAGCACTAATGGCCTTCAAATAATCAATATTTAAAGTCATTATGGGGTTACACATTATACTGTTAAAAGCAAGCCTTTCACTTTAACCCCATCATATCCTCCCAAGCCCAGAGCAGTGCTCCCCCAAGCTCTAAAGGAAGGCTCAGAGCACAGGCTGTGACTGGAGATGTGAGAGGGTCAGGAAATGCAGATTGAAACTGGCAAGGCATGGAAATAAATTTAGAATGGATGGAAAAGAGGGGGGGAAAAGAATGCATGAAAGCTCTGCTTTCTTCTGCTTTGCATTTGATAGGAAGAGACACTTGAAACCTGAGGTAACAAGCAAGCAGCACACAGCTCCTTGCTGGTTTGCCATCCACAGACACTGTGCCAGGAAGGGAGAATAAATAAAATGAAAGGGCTTTCTAAAAATGGTGTTTGGGATTTCCAGGTAGAAACAGACAGGTGCTGGGCTCTGCCCTTCCAGGGCAGCAATGAGGCCTGGACACAGGGAGGGTCTGGTTTATGCTGCCATGAGAAATCATTCCCTCAAATTCAAAGTGCTGCTAAAACCAAATTAGTTAGATCAGGTCAAGCTCTTTGGCCTTTGCTCTGCGTAACACTCAACCAGCTGGGATGGAGTGAGGAATCCTCCCAGTTCAGAGATAAGGGAAGAGGGATACAGCACTCAGAGAAGAGAGGGGGATGCAAGGCTAGGGTGGGCAAGAGCAGGAGAGAGAATGTGCCCAGAGAAGTGAGAAGAATGTGCGCAAGGAAGCAGGAATCAAAGTCTACATGATGGAGGGGGCAGGAATTAGGTGGTGAAAGAAAAAATAGTAGTAACAGCAGATGGAAAGAGCCCAATCCAAGAAATTCTTGCTGGGTATTTCAGGCACATCTCTGCACAGAGAAAGGCCTCTGGCTGATGCACAGCTTTCTGCAACAGAAGGGCAACGAGTGCATCTCTGAGACACCGTGGCTCCTGCTCCCAGAACACTCTGGCCAAAGGGCTCTGCTTCCCAGGACCCCAGCAGATCAGAATGCTGATGGCATCTCAGGCAGGCAGTATTTCGTGCTCCCTGGCATTCCTCCTGCCTTCACCTCATAATTGTCTACAGTCCTGGAAGGTGAATTATGTCCCTAATGCTTCTTACAGAGAGCACCAGAGACAGCCAAACGCTACTACCAAAGTATCTGCCTCAGCACTTGCCCTTTTGCTGACTATAATCTGCCTTTTCCCCCTGCTGTGGGAGGGGGGCAGGTTCTCCCACACAGGACCCATGCCATATTCTGTACACACGTGAACAAGCTCCTAGCACCTCCTAACACAGAGCTGATGCATCACATTTAGCCAACAAGCCTCACCACACTGATCCCGCTGAGTACCTGTGCAATGCCTCCCATGTGCAGGGCATAAAAGCTTTTCCCTCAGGGGGGGCAATGCAGGTGCTCCCTGGGCTGCACACACACTCTCCAAGAAGTGGGCTGCTCTGTTCCATGAGTACAATCAGGAGCGAGTTCTGCAGTTTGTGCCAGGAGATGAGCATCCTGGGTAGGACCACACCAGGCTAAACGACCCCAGCAAAGCCAGACACATTGCCAGCAAATTTTGGAGACAGAAGCCAAGGAGTAGGATCCAAGCAACTCTGCATCTCTGCAGGGCACAGCCACCTGCCATTTTTGCAGGAGACAGCAGTTTGGAGACGGGAAGTACTCCAGGCTGGAGTAGTTACAATGACACCTTTTAGCTGTACCCTTTCCTCTTCCAAGTCTTTTTATAACACTGAACTCAGCAATCTTTTCAAACCAACCACCAGGTCCTGGCACTCTATAATCCAAGTCTGAATCACTCTAAGGAAGGACCTAGGAAACCAAAACCGTGAAACCAAACGGAATCTCAAGCCTGTAGCTTGAGTTTACTCCTGGCAAGACACACCAGTTTTACAAACTCTTTTCAA